TGTTGAGCGAAAGGGGGGGAGCAGAAGAGAAACACAATTAAATTGCCCAGAAGTACTTACCCAATCGAGCTAAGCAGTCAAGCGCATATTCAGACACTTTTTAAAACAAAGGGGAAAAGATGGCGGGGAAGAGGGACAAAGACAAAGAAAGACTTTTGAAAACGAAACCAGAGTTCCCTAAGCCAGAAACGACCAGTGAGATGGCAAAGGCTATAGCCGAGTTCATGCGCCCTCTACTGGATCAGCTGAATAACTTCAAAGAGCAGATGTCCATGGTAACACAGAGCATTTCTGTGCAACAAACACAAATAACTGATCTGATTCAAGTAATGAAGCAGGATGCTGAGAAAGTAAAGGAAGTAGCTGAATCAACGCAGAAAGTGAAGAAGAAAGTGCAAAAATTGGAAAAGAAAACTTCTTCTTTGGAAGATCAAATGCTTCAAGTACAAATGGATAAGGCCAATATGGTCCTGCGCTTCCAGGGGGTGCCAGAGAACAAAGGAGAGAATCTTAAACTTATGAGTGAACTACTTCCCCAGTAACAGAAATAAAGGCGGACTTGTTACTCAACGATATGGATGTGGCCTACAGGTCATATTCAGGATACATAAAGAAAAATAATCTGCCTGGGGAGATTGTAGTAAGATTCTCGAAGAGGCACGTCAGGGATGCTATCCTGAAAGCAGTAGCGGCAATGCCCCTGAAGGCAGGGGAGAATGCTGTGAGAACGCTAAAGGATATTCCATTTGAAGTAAGACAACGCAGAAAGAAATATAAAGAACTTGTGCTCTTTCTCCAAACAAATTCAACTGGATACAAATGGCTGTTTCCAGAAGGCGTAACATTTAAGATCAAAGAGAAGAAGGAAAAGATTGACTCTGTTCTGAAAGCTCAAGAATTTCTAAAGGAACAGCTGGGAAGGTCAGAGGACGAGAAAAAAGAAGAGGACAACAGGTCCAGTGGCAAGCTGGAAACTGGTTCATCTGGCAAGGGCTCTTTGTCTGAGCAGGGGGCAGCAGCCCCGAAAAGTCCCTACAAGTTGCGGAAGAGATGAGAGAAGAAGAAGTAAAGGCTGAAGGACTCTGAATTGTGCCTTTGAGAACTTTGGTTCTTGGGGATGATTGGGGGCACTGTTATTGGGCAGTTAAATGTAAACTGGGAGGGCAAAAAGCTTTAAAAGTTTTGACACAGTTCATAAAAAGAAAAAAGAGGAAAAGACTGGATGTATAAAAGCTAGTTGGAAGATCTCCTCTCTTGGGTTTTTAGATAGTAGTGGATACTTTACTTTCTCCTGTATGTGCAGTTTCCCCCTCCCTTTTTCTGTTGTAGTTTTTTGTAGTGAGAAAAAACCAATAAAAAATCCCCTCCGGGGGCTCAAAAAATATATATGCGGATGACACCCAGCTCTATCTGATGCTGGGCGGCCGATCGAACTCTGACCCAGATGACCTCCAACGGGCGTTGCAAGCCATGGCTGGTTGGCTCAGACTAAGTCGGCTGAAACTAAACCAGGTGAAGACGGAAGTCCTGGGCCTAGGTCCAGAATTTGTTGAATGAGAGAAAGAATTTGTTGGTATGTTGTATTTGGAGGCAAGATATCTTGTGCAAGAACATGTTCAAGAAAGGGAAACCATTTTTCAATGAAGTTCTCCTCAGAGCGAAGTCTGATTGAAGCAGTCGGTGATTTTTTTCCATTATCAGGTGATCCCATATTTTTGAGTACCAGCTGGTCAAGGATGGTAGTGATGGAGATTTCCAGTGGGATGCTAGAGCTGTCTTGGCAGCAGTCAAAGGGCTATAGATGAGTTCACATTCAATTTTGGGAATCGAGAGATCACAATGGTGGTGTAAGAAGATCAGCTCTGGGGCTAGTGGAAGGGTGTAGTCTCTGATATGTGCTATTTGCCCAAGGATGGTGTTCCAAAAGTCTTTCAAGTGCAGACATTGCCACCAGCAGTATGCGAAAGCGCCAATGTCTCCACAGCCTTTCCAACAGTGTGAAGGATAGGAAGGAGAGATCATAGCCAGCTTCTGGAGGGGGATTTACCACCAAGATAGGATCTTGTAGGATTGTAGCCAACATGTGAGAAAGTTGAGGATGCAAGCGAGATGTGCCAAATATTAGATCACTGATCGTCTGTAAAGGTAATACTGCAGTCATGTGACCAAGCGATTGGTAAGGCAAGGGTTTAGAGGGAGTAAGTTGAAGTAAGATGTGACATATTTTTGCAATGAGACCATGGAAATTTACGACATCAGAGTTCAATAAGTCCTCAAAGTCAGTGAGAGGTGAGCTTAGGATGGCAGACAGTTGCAGAGTGGTAGTCATGTGTCTCAACTGGAGGTAGAAGAACCATGGAATTTTATTGCGAAGTCGTTGTTCTAAAAGCAGTTTCAGTACAAGATCATGGCTCAATACTAAAACTTTCAGATGGGTGAGTCCACCATTTTTCCAAAGAGAGGTAGCCTGTCCATCAGCTCCTGGGGGGGAACCAAGTTTGATGCAGGAAGGAAGAGAATCTCGAGTATTTTGGAACTAGTTTCTGTTTATAGTTGTCCCACATCTTGAGAATGGTTGTAATAAATGCGTTGATGCGAAGTTCAGGAGGATGTGATTGTGGTTCAGTCCAGGTTGCATCTTGTAATGAGAGATGATGCAGGAGTGGTTCTAGGGTCAAGGTCCAGTTTACTTGATCTCCTATCTGTAGGATTTTAACAATGTTAGATGATAAAATAGCTCTATAATAGGTGGTAATGTCCGGGTAGTTGAGGCCTCCATTCGTTGTTCTCATTTTCAGTGTTTTGAATCCAATTCGTGGGTATTTAAGCTTCCAAAGGAAAGTATTGATAGTTGATTGTCAATGGTGTAGACGCTTAGAAAGTATCTCTATAGGTATCGTCCTAAAGAGAAATATGAGTTTGGGGAGAACAAATGATTTAATTAGATGAAATTGGTCATGCCAGGAAAATGACTGTCGATCTCACTTGTTGAGGTCAGTTTTAATTTCACAGAATTTACTGAGATGATTTCATCAAAGTTGATGGGGTGGTTGAGAAAAGAATTCCCAAGTACGGAAGTGGTTTACCCGTCCATTGATATGTGTATGAAGATTGCAAATGTGATAACTTGGAGGAGTCAATGTTCAGAGGAAGGACTGTCGATTTTGAGTGATTTATGCATAAGCCCAAGGTCGTACTAAATCTGGAGAGTAGGTCATGTGGATAAGTAGAGAAGCATGTCGTCTGCGAACAAGCTTAGTTTAAATTCTCTAGTGGCCAATCAGACTCCATGAATCATGGGATTGTTTCTTATGTCAGTGGTGAATGGCTCCAGAGCTATTGTGAATAATATAGGGGACAGGGGGCGGCCTTCCCTTGTCCCCCTATGCAGCAGAAACGTTTCAGGAGTGGTTCCATTAACTTTTACTTGTGCCTTGGGGCAGGAGTATAATGCCGATATCATTTTGATAAAAGTGTCGCCAAAGTTCATGTGTTTCAGTAAGGCCAAAAGGTAAGAAGTTTCCAAGGTACCAAATGCTTTCTCAATGTTCAAAGAAAGCAGTAATGTTCCAGGGCTTTTCTTTGTACAGGAAGAGATGATATTTAGTGTTTTAAAGATGTTATTTGTCAAATCTCTCCCTGGCATAAAGCCCTATTGGTCGGGATGTATATTGGTCGGGATGTATATAATAAAGTCATTAAGACGGCGCGTAATAATGGCAGTCTTGTAATCTTGGTTGAGCAAGGATATAGGTCAAAAGGAAGCTGGCACTGTGTGATCCTTTCCAGACTATAGAGGCTTCGTGCAATGAAGGAGGAAGAGATCCAGATGTGAAGATCTCATTATAAATGTCTGTTAATACTGGAGTTAATAGTGATTTCTCGCGTCTCAATTGGTCTAGTCAGAAAAGAGCGATGATTATCTGTTAATTTCTTAATCTGTACATAGGAGTGCAGGTAGTCCAGTATGAAAGCTGAAGATGGATTTTTTGAGGAATAAAGCTTGTGGTAGTAACTGACAAATATTCTTGTTATGTCTTTAGATCTTGAGTGCAAGGAGCTCAAGGAGTCTTTCAGCGATGTCACCATTCTGGATGACTGTTTAGATTTCACTCTCCATAATAGAAGACATAACAATTGTGGAGAGTTACTCCAGTATTTTTGCTTTAAGAATTTTTTTTTTGTATTTGCAAGCATTCTAATGATTCAAGTAGTTTGCATTCTGTTTGAAGTTTTCAATTTGTGGATTTGCCTCCCCTCCAACTCGTTTTTTATGAGGGCCAGATCTGACATAAATGTCACTTTGTCGCGTGAGGCCATGTGTGCCATAAAATGTAATGCCAGGTACCAGAGATACAAACTTTATAAATGAAACAGGCAAACCCAATTGACAATATTATTTTTACACAAAATACAAACAAAAACAATTGATTCCTAGGAGTGAAAGCAATTAATTTACTGGGGAATCCACAAACGCCCCAATGAATGTATTTAAGCATATGCAAGACTAGGGATACCATACCCACCCTTCCAGCCATTTCCTTTCAGTTCTTGACAGCTTCAACCACATATACCTCACCAATGTGCTCCCGTACACCTGCTTCCCCTCCCCAGCAGCCTCCTGCCTCTCTTGCACCTGTTGCTCACAGGCCAGACAAGAGCTCTGGACTGGCCAGTTCCAGCCTCCAGGTAGTAAGTTTGACATCCCTGAATTGTAAAGCATTGCCTTGAGATGAAGAGAAGGGCAAATACATTTCACACTGTAATTAGTTCCCACTTCTTAAACCTTAATCATTGTATTCCTGTCATTTCTATAAATACATCTACTTTTTCTGTTCCCTGGTTTCTATTTTATAATGGTCAGATGAATGTCTTCATTCATAAGTTACTGTGTTTTGATCTTGAATAGAACAGCAACATCTCAACTGCATAGCCAACCAAGTGACTTGTTAGCTGTATTGTATCAAAAAAGCTGCAAAAATACAAAAACAAATACTTACTCTCAGTCTAACACAGCCTCGGCGTGATCCCCGCATCATTTTGTCTTTTGACTGAAACAGAAAAATAATTAACTTAATGAAATTCACAATAGCAAACTTTTTGCTGAAAGGGATTAACATCAAAAAACCTTACAATTCCCTGCAACATGTATTATACAGAAAATGCAGGATATACAAATTGTATGACTGCTATTGTAACAATCCATTACAGAAAGATATAGCAAGCAGAAAAAAATATTTCTATAATAACCATCTTTAAGAACAAACTCAGTCTCAGAATCTTCAAAGATTAAGAGAACAAACTCCAGTTCTTCCTTTTTTCCTCCCCGAGCACCACAAAGGAGACGCTCAAAACCCGTTCTCTTAAGTGTAAAATGGGCAAATGCAAGATCAACATCTACCAGTTCTGTTTGCTTGTGTCTTAATTAGGGCAGGTGTCAAACTACTTAAAGTCAATTTCTAGGCCCTCCTTCAAACCAATGCAACCAGTGGAAAAGCTAGTTTATGATACACCATACAACATAGAAGTACCCTGAAAACAGAGCCTTGAATGAACTTCATCTCAGGCTGAAAACAGCAGCAAGAAAGGCAAGTATGACTGGAACTGGAAAAATAAATTAGACACAAAATTCAGACACTATTGCTACATTGCACCCAAGCTGTACAGGACACAAAATTCAGACACTATTGCTACACTGCACCTAAGCTGTACAGGACGATATGTTCCACTATAAAGAAGTAGGGTTGCCAAGTCCTACCTTTGTAATAGCGGGGGGAGTCCCGGACGTCCCCGGTAGCCTCCTGGTGCACACGTTTTGCGCGCACGCTGCTATCACATCACCTGGAAGCGACGCAACCATGTTGTGCACGTTGGGGGCGGGGCCACAATCATCCGAGGGAAAACCATAGAGTTTTCCCTCAGATGATAGAGCGTCCCCCTGCAACGTGCCCAACGCAATTGTGTCACCTCCGGGTGATATGTTCACGCTGGGCACATCACGCACTTTGGAGGTGGGCCCCCCCCGGCAGCCCAATCCCCACCGGGCCTCTCGGGCGGGGGTTTTCCCACCCCCTGGGGGGACTTGGCAACCCTATAAAGAAGATGGCAAACTCAGTAGTAATGAATAATCATAGAAGAGTGTTTCAGTCATTTGCGATTAAGAATACAGAGCACAAATTAGATTACTTAACTGTAGCCACATAAAAGCATGCAAAAATCAATTACAGCAGAAGCTGTACAAGCTGAGACACAAAACTGAAGGTTCTCTTACAGACACATTTTTGTTTGCTAAAAAGTTCTCACTTGGTCAAACATAATTTATTTTATTTATTTATTAATTATATTTATATCCCGTCCTCCCCGATGGGCTCAGGGCGGCTCACAGAGGCAAGGTAAACCAAGCCATAGTTAAAACATATGATACATAATAAAAACATCCAAACAATTAAGACATTAAAACAGTGGTGCTCAATCCATTAAACCTAGGATACTTTAACAATAAAATGTAGAGCTCTTTATGATAATATTTATTCTAAGGGACAGTCAGTCAGCACATCTATTCAGAGCAGTGCAAATAAACCCTAGAACAGCAGCACTACATTGTGGAACAGGTTATTTTTAGTCATTGTGGAAGTCTGCATAGGCTCTGATAGTATCTGCAGTGGGGACGTCTCAGCAGCAGCAGGCCTGCAACAAGAGTGCCAGAGGATCAGCCGTGAATAGTGCCAACAGTGAATTTTTCCAAAATCTGTCTTCTGTGAATATGTGACTCCACTAGTGCCTGTATGTGCTTTGATTTAGGATGTATGGATGAGTATATGTTTGTATACCCTTTTCAGCAGGCAAGAGTTCCAGAGGGGCAGCTGTGTTAGTCTACTGTAGCAAAATAAAACAGACTCCAAGAAAGCTCATGCTGGAATAAACGTTGTTAGTTTTTAAGGTGTCACTGATGTTTTATTTTAATATAATAGAATTATTATGAGTAGATTTCTTTGAGAACAAGTGGTGCTGAAGTCAATAAAACTTGCTTTCATAAATTGGTCCTTCTGGCACTTATTCCACCAAAAAAATCTACACACAAGAATTGCAGCTTTGTAACTGGTATTATATGGACATGCAAAACAAATTGACTGGTTAAAATTCACACAATTGACTATTTCTTTAACCATGTGACACCCTTAAGTAGTATGAAGAGATGGAAGATATTACCTTTACAGAAATAAACTGCAAAACTCAAGTAGCACATTTACATGATTAGTAATACTCTGAGATGAGACAGCAAAAAAAAATTGTGTCTTACAAAAATTTCTCAAGCTAAGAAATGGGGGAAAGTTGTATTACCGTATTAGTTCATATAAAATCCCCCAAACAAGAACAAAATCCATGTAGTATCTTTTACTGGATCAACCATATTAGCACAGAATACGAACTTTGGATGGTTTTAGTATTTCAGAAAAAGAACAAAGAATGGAGATTGAATGAACAAAGCAGCCACAAAGTTTATACCTGCTGGTATCTCACCAAGGGAACCAGCAATATCAGATCTTTATACCACGGCCTAAGATCTGCTTAGGAGCTGCAGTGGCTCAAGTGGTTAAGACACTGAACTGCAGGCTGTGGAAGGTCGGTAGTTCAGCAGTTCGAGCCCCGAGTGTGCCACATGACAGAGTGAGCTCCCGTCTCTGGTTCCAGCTCCTGCCAACCTAGCAGTTCGAGAGCAAGAAATTGCAAGTAGATAAATAGGTACCACTTCAGTGGGAAGGTAACAGGTTCCGTGCGCTTTGGTGTTTAGTCATGCCGGCCACATGACCACGGAAACATCTTCAGACAGCGCTGGCTCTTCAGCTTTGAAACGAAGATGAGCACCACAACCCTAGAATCGGATTCGACTGGCTTTCGAACTTTACCTTAATATCTGCTTACCACCCTTCTTTCTTAAATCTAGTAATACCAAGCCTAATTAAGAGTCGTGATGGGCTCAAAAGCTTCCACAGTGTTTTTGTGTTGTTGTTTTTTAATTTGGTCAGGCCAATAAAAGTTATTACAGGGATTTGTTCTTCCTCCCCCCAAGAAATACAAAGAGAAGAAGTTTGGCACCCTCTTGTGGATGCTGAAAGCAATAGCAACAATTTTACTGATCACATCTTGTTCCTTGATCATCTCAAGATCGTGCCTTTAAATAATAACAACTTTTTCAATGAAGATCATTGCATATCCATACTTTTAAATCTACTAAAGACCATATGCCACTCTTTCAAATAAACATAAAGTACAAGAAACCTGCAAGGAAAGCTTTTTAAATTAATTAAGTTTATTTACACCCTGCTTTTCTACCCAATGGGAACCCAAAGTGGCTTATGTCATTCTCTGCTCCTCCAATTTTATCCTCACAACAACCCTGTGAGATAGGTTAGGCTGAAAGTGTGACTGGCCCAAGGTCACCCAGCGAACTTCCATAGCATGAGGGAGAATTTGAACCTTGGTCTTCCAGATATTAGTCTGACACTTTTATCCACTATACTGGCTCTCTAAACGGTGTACTATTACTGAACTATATGTGCTCGCACATTGCAAATATACCCTCCTGAGCCTGCATTCAATTATCAAATTTATCTCCCATCTAAAATTACCAGACCTCCCCATCCAACGGAAAACTGAATCTCACTGGATATGTCTAGTGACACTTCGCACTGACCCAACACAGCTCCAATACATATCTTTACAGTGCTATGAATTAGAAGCTGTTTGTCTTAAAAAATATGCACACTTGTGTGAACTCCAACATAAATGCTTTAAGTTACACTTAGGCAAGAAAGCAGGGATATATATGGAAAATGCAGTGTGAGAACTGGAGGAAGTTCGTACCATATGGCTACTTTGTCACCAGGGGGGCCAAAAGAAGAGAAGTTTTAATATCCTCATCTTGGAACCCTAAAAACCAGTGGTGGAAAACACAGTGGAATAATGCAATTTGGTACAAGACAGTAAGTCAGTTCCACAAAGTAAGGACTGGTACCACAGAACACCTTCCAAATGGGAGGCAAAGAGTTAAAAGTCATTTGTTTGGGGAAAGCAAGGCAGGAAAGGGGGGGGGGACAAGAGACAGCAAAGGGTTACACTGGAGAGCATCCTTTGCTAAGTTGCCTGCCACACCCGTGCCCATTCTTCAGAGGGGAAGAATGTCAAGCTAACATCTTGATCAACACAAACTAGTTAGCTATTTGTGAGTTTATTTCCTAGTGGTCTATAATTTCTCCTGCAGTATGCCAATGCATTTCCATCTAATCTCTGTTGAGCTTTTCTGCAGGATGTATTTTAGTTAATAAAAGCCCTTTTTATGAGGAGCTCATACAACAAGTGACAGGAGGAAGAGAGAAGATGAGGGACTCTGAGGGGAATGTGGTAGGCAGCATGTTATTTTACACTCCCAACTCACTTTAGGTAACTGACTCCACTGCACTGAGGACTTTACATCCCCACTCCCCTTTCAGTAACTCTCATGAAGAGAGCAAGAGTCCAGTAGTACTTTAAAGTCTAACAAAATTTGTGACAGGGTATGAGCTTTTGTGAGCCACTGCTCATGTCTTCAAGAAATGAGACCATTCCTTGGGTATTAGGAAACAACTCGAGATGGTGTGGCAATATACAGATCTAGTTAAGATCTAAACTACTAAAATTCTCATAATGAAATGGTTCATAAATGATTTTTATATGGAAGAACTATACAAGAAAGACCTCGATGTCCTTGACAACCACGACGGTATAATCACTGACCTCGAGCCAGACATCCTGGAATGTGAAGTTAAATGGGCCTTAGAAAGCATTACTAACAACAAAGCTAGTGGAGGTGATGGTATTCCAGCTGAGCTATTCAAAGTCTTAGAAGATGATGCTGTTAAAGTGCTGCACGCAATTTGCCAGCAAATTTGGAAAACGCAACAGTGGCCACAGGATTGGAAAAGATCAGTATACATTCCAATCCCAAAGAAGGGCAATGCCAAGGAATGTTCAAACTATCGCACAATTGCACTCATATCACACGCTAGCAAGG